GACCGGTTGCCTAAATCGGACCTTTTGCAGCATGTTGCAAAAAGACTCCCAGTGAATTAATTTGATATTGATAGAAGATAAAACGTGTAATAATAGGAACTTGAAATATCAAAGTACAATTTCTAATCTTCATTTGCACACAAATCAGTTCTAAATGAGAAATATAATAAAAAATACGTTAAGTGGTACGCATTCAGCAACTTTCCCCTATATCTCGGTGGGAGATGATTTGTAGGTTTTAATGTTCATTTGGTTTTACTGGGAATATTGCTTTTCTCCACTAGGATCTTGGTGTTCTGTGCGATTGTGTTGGATCTTTGTCAAGCTTTGTAGAGAATTGTTTCATTTATTTCTTAAGTTCGCGTCTGCTATGTCGATAACGTTATTAGTTTAGTGAAGCATCGCCAAGTGATGAGGGCGTTGCGTGAAGAAGTGAGTGGTAGTCGGGTTGACGGCCATTGTGTGTGAATTCTCAGGGAGTAACACCGTCATGTACTAAATACATAGTAATAAAGCTTGTTAATTACGCATTACCACAAGCATTATATTCATTCGCTCAGTGTATTGAGCAACATTGGTCCTTCGAGCCGGATGCTCGGAAAATAGTTCGAGCGATTTTTTGGTCATCAAGAAAGAAAACGAAGCATTAGTACCACGAGGATCGTAACGGCGTGGCATAGCATACAAGACAAAATGGAAGCGCTGACGAAACTGAGAGCTAAGCGAACAAATATAAAGGGTCAAATTACGTCCTTTATTAGATTCGTTCGAGAACATATCCAAGAGAGAACAGAGCAGCTGCCAGATACAGCGAGCCGAGGATTTATATAACGCATACAATGAAGCACAAACGATTATAGCAGAAATTAAATTGGAAGCATTAGCAGCACGGGATCCTGCACCGAGCCAGGAGGAGTTGCAGATGTTGGATGCAGAATTGACTAGAGAACGGCAATCGATAGAAGACGCTTACTTTGAGCATTTGGCGATAGCGAAGCGATTGGTAAGAGAGAGACAAGCGGTACAGGCATTGCCGCAGCCAGGGCAACAGGTAGTTGACAATACCCATAATATTAATGTTAAGTTACCAACGTTGCAACTTCCACAATTCAATGATAATTACGATCAATGGCTTATGTATAAAGACACTTTTATATCAGTTATTCATGCTAATACAAGGTTAACAAATATTCAGAAGTTCCAATATTTACGCAGTTCTTTATTCGGAGACGTTTTACAAGTTATACATACCTTAGAAACCACCGATGATAATTATGTTGTAGCATGGCGTTTAATTACAGAGAGATATGAAAATAGAAAGCTAATTATAAATAAGCATATTAAAGAACTTTTTGAGTTACAGCCAGTAAGTAAAGGCAATCATGTTTCGTTAAGAAGTTTTATCGATGCGGTGCGTACCCATGTTAGAGCTTTGGGAGTACTAAAACAGCCGGTCACTCATTGGGATACCATCCTTATTTATTTACTTATCGATAAATTGGATTATGCTACTCGAAAGGATTGGGAATTCGAGGTTAGGAAAAATGCACCAGATACTATGCCTACACTGGAAACGTTTATGGAGTATTTGGCCGATAGAGCTCACACATTAGAATTAGTGGAAGGTACGAAGAGCAAAACGGAACAGGTAAAATCTATGATGCAAAAAAATTCAACTAAAAAGGTAACCATGGCAGCCGTGCCA